AACAGGTCTCCAGACCTTAGGACATTCATTCTCAAAATGTTGTGGATCTCTACACTTTGAGCACTTAAGAGCACTTCGGCCAATAGGTTTAACAAAATTTCTTTTGAAATGATTTTTATAAGCTTGTTGAGGAGGTCTTTGTCTTAATCTCTCCTTGACCTTTGGAAAATCAATCAAGCTATCACTTTCCTTCACAAATCCGAGACCAGATTTGTTATAGTAAGGAATTTGGATAGAAAGGATATGCTTCAAGGTTTCTGAACCTTTTGAGAACTTGGAAGTAATTTCTGAAACTTCCTTTTTCAAAACAGCATTTTCTTTGGAAAGACGATCTCGACTTTCCTTGACTTGATGATATTCTTTTTGAAGAAAATCGATTTTTTCTTTTTGTGAAACATCCTGTTGCCTTAGTGATGAATTTTCCTTTTTCAAAGAAGAGATTCTTTTAAGAGCAGCCTTAAATTCAAAGCATAATTCATCAATATAATTTGATACTTCAATAGGCATATCAAAATGCTTTACCTCAATTTCCACTTTAGGATCAAAATCAGAATCAGAATCAGAATCAGAATCTGAATCTGAATCTGAGTCTGACTTAGCCATTAGACAGAAATTAGAGATATCTTCATCACTGTCTTCGCACTCTGTGTCACTCCAGGTTTCTGCTTTTAAGGCCTTCTTTGCTTTCTCAAATTTGGTCTTCTTTTTCAGAAGTGGACAATTTGGCTTGATATGTCCACGTTTCTTACAGTGAAAGCATATAACATCCTTTGATCTCCCTGTTTCATCGAAAGGCTTCTTCTCAAAAGGCTTCTTACCTTTGAGGTTTCTTCCTTTGATCTTCATTTTCTTATACTTCTTTATAAAGAGAGCTAGTTCTTCATCGTCAGCATCTTCATCTTCAGACTCTGCATCAGAATCAATGTTAGTTTTTAATGCAATTGACTTATTACCTCTAGATTCATTCTCCTCATTCCATTTCTCAGTCTCATATGATTGAAGAGTTCCAATTAACTCATTCACCGATAGAGGCTTGATCTTTTGTGTTTCTCGAAGAGATGTTTTGATATTATCCCACTGCTTTGTCAGTCCTCTCAGTAGTTTGTTGACTTTCATTGCATCTGGGACTGATTGTCCTTGGTATGCAAGACCGTTTACAATGTCAGCAAACCTGTCATACATATCAGCAACTGATTCTTCAGGCTTCATTTTGAAGGCTTCGTATTGACCAAGCAAAAGATTGATTTGAGTTTCCTTGGCTCGATCTGTTCCTTCATAAGTAATGTGGAGCGTTTCCCAGATTTCTTTAGCTGATTCACAAGCAGCAATTTTTTTTATATTCAATAGGAGATAAGGCACAATATAAAGAATAAATTGCTTTGGAATCTAAGGTTTCTCTTTTGGATATCTCAGTTTGAGATAATGGAGGATCTGCTGCTTTGCTTGCATCTGCCTTTTCTTTTGAATCAGAAGATTTTGGATTGACTCCTCTGATGATGACATCCCATTGCATGTGATCAATTGACTTTATGAATGCCTTCATCTTATTCTTCCAGACACTATATTCCTTGCCATCGAAATATGGTGGTCTGTTGTTGCTCTGTCCTTCAATGAGCCCTGGAGCACCAAAGCTAGCCATGTAGATCGTTAGCTCAGAAGTAAAACACTTCAATAAATGAGCAACCTGCTCTTATACCAATTGATGTAGCTAGCAAGGATCACCTAGAGGGGGGTGAATAGGTGATCTTAAACAATTTTGATAATTTATGCAGAAACAAAACAAATCACAGAAGAGTCTGAATAAAATTCAGATTCAAGACAGATTGTATAGACGGTGCTCTTGATGTGTAGTGTACAAAGTGAGAGAAGAGGGATAGAAAAACTGCACACAAATTTATAGTGGTTCGGCTTATAGTAAGCCTACGTCCACTCTCCCACGCTGACAGCCTACCGGCTGGATTTCACTATGTAATCAAGAGGAATTACAACTTCTGAGTGTTAGCATTCTTGTGTATGATAGGACTCTCTATCTCACACAATCACTCTTACAAAGTGTTCCTCAAGATCTTAATGTATGACTCAGAAAGACAAGAGAAATAATTGGAGTATGTTCAGACTTTGGACTTGATGATTCTTGATTATGTACTCCCTTCTGCTGCTCGTTGATCTCCTTAAATACTCATCTACTTCCAAACTAGTCGTTGGATAGCTTTCAGAGGATCATCTTCCAATCTTCACCTTGGACAGATTTGTATAGAAAGGATTGAGTAGCCGTTGGATGACAGATTCTGAATCCCACTGATTCTGGTCGCCCATATAATCAGAATCTTGGTTTCCATAAGTAGAGCTTTATCCGTTGTAATGCATGCTTGTCGTAGTGTTTGATTGTCAATCAATTATAGCCTTAGATTGAAACAATCAAAACTTTCCTTCTGTGAAATCCATACCAGATCACTAGCTGTTATGTCTCGTTCTGAATTCTGCATCTACATCTGAAGAATTTCAGCGTCTGAATAATTTCAGCGTCTGAGTCTTCAGAACTAAGATTATGTGGGTCTTCAATAAGGTATTTGCCAGCTTGTAAAGTCTGAATAACTTCCTTCTGAGCTTCCAGAATATACATACCTGGAATAAATTAGTTCAGAATAAGTATCAGATTTACAATAATATGGAAGGTTTTGTCAACTTCAAAATCAATAGGAGTTTTCCTCAACAATACCAACGAGAGTAAAATGGGAAACCAGCGTGTCGGTTCAAGTAACGACGTCATTCCTAAGTTGCCCGCATGTGAATGTCTCTTGGGACCATGTTTCCGACAAGTTCTCGCACAAAGAAAGCTCTTAAACTGCTTATACTCAAGACGATTTGCCTTTGCAGTCACACCTCGCACACTGATGCCCTCGTGACGAGAGTTCTCGAACGGGAGCCATTAACATACCCGGTTGAAATTAACTAAAGAATTTAGCCGTCTAGTTACGACCCGACTGATTCTTTTTTTTTGGCTCTAGATATCTTGTATGCGACTTATCTTTGCACCTAAACTTCCGCCATGCACCCGGCATTGATAATGCTAGGCTTGCTAAAGATTTTACAGATATCAATCTATAAAATCATTGCGGGGTCGCGCACCATTCTTCTTTTTTCACATTATGAATAGAGACATATCATATAATCACAACAAAAAAGGACTGGTTGCCTCGTAAGATTTCGTGCACTAGTCTTTGTGCGATCATTGCCCGGATTAAACCTTGGCAACATCAGGTGTGGTCAAGAACTTGTGATTTCTCATCGGAATCACATTAGCAGAGGCTAATGAATTGCTTTCGCTGTCGTCCTTTCCTTGATGAAGGAGGACCGACGCGGGGTTAGGTTTGGACGGCGTGGAGTGGCATTGTCAAAGTACGAAGAGGAGTTCGGCTGGGAGACTTGGAACGCACACAGGCACAACGCCACCGTCAACAAAAGAAGGAGACAAACTTGGCCTTTTTTTTTTAACGCAGCACACGTACGTTCTTGGTGGAAGATAGTCAAAATTGAGCACCGAAATCGCTCTCGTGTTGTGATTCACGTTAGATATGGATACACCATAGCCACACACACACACAGCACACGTAAATGGCAACGACGGAAACGAGCCGAGTGTTCAAAGATGCGAGTGTTCGAGAGTCGAAGACCGAGGTCGAACGTCGAATCCGATCAGGGTCGTGCTGCAAAAAGTTCCGCGCTCATCGGCATGCATGAAGCTTAGGCGATGTGGATTTCTGCAGATGATGTTCCAACATCATATGGTAAACTTTCATGTTTCCTCGAAACGGTGCCAAGGGAGACAAGAGGCATTTACTAAGAGAGGAACAAGTTTCGTAAATTTCTCGACCTCGGCCACGCGATGAAGTGTTCTCATGGCTCGGGTGCTATTTGTGATGATCCGAATATAAGTTTTTGCGGTTTTTAGAGAACTAAAATACCGAATTGCCAAGGTGGAAAAAAACGAGAACCACAAATATTACACGGTCTACAGACCGTTTTAGACAAGCCCATCTAAGCCATTAATTATTTGGATCGTACGGTGGGATTCAAATAAGTATTAGTTTAGATGATACGGGTGCACATGATCCGTGGACTACGCAGAAGAGTATGATTTTTTATTTTATCAAGGGTGGTTGAACTAGACATTGTACATATTTGCATTAGGTATTACGAGTCATCACCTTAGCCACCGCCCTCCCGGATATTTGGTTTGACCTTTGCTTTTAACTTTTCACTATTTCGGTGACTTTTAGATGTGATTTTTGAGCAATGCTAGGACTAATAAATTTTTTACTACTAAATCTTTTTTTTTGTAATAAAATGTTGTGACCCAAGGGAAATAAATGATTAAGTTCGTTTCCCACATAGCGTACAGGATGTTGCACTCTTAGTATATATAGCATTTAAATAATATGGAGCACCTCAAACCTTAAAATCATATAAACACCAACTTTTAACGTACCCGTAAATTTTTTTTAAATTTTTTTTTCAAGTATGCACGAAATTGAAGAAAAGAAATATCTAGTTTGGTTTAAAATTAGACTAAATTCTATACAGATTGCGCTCGTAATTTTATTTTTTACCATCTCTTATGACGATCTTAAGGGCACATTACTCCACATTGGCCGGTGCTTTGTAGTTCCGCGATCCACCTTTGGTTGAATCGATAATAGAGCAACTTGGAAGTCCGTATATTTAAATTCGATATATTTTTTTTCGAAATGACGATATAAAGAGTAATTAATTCTTTTTTTTTCAGCCAATAAATAGGAACAAATAAATATGTGTGATGATTCAATTACATGTAAGTTGACTAAAAAAGGAAGCGGGACAAGCAATGTGGGATCATCCACTGGTCCGTGCGATCTCCAACTATGGAAATCCAGTGTGATTTTCCATTTTAGGGCCCGATCCTAGATATTGCTGATCCTCTATTTACAAACACGACCGTCATCGCCGGCCCGCCTGTCCCCGGGGGCGGTCGAGTCTCGATCACGCCGCGACCCTCTCCGCTCGAGAGTGGCGGCCGCTGCCGCCGAGCACCCTCTTCGCAGTGGCTCGGAACGGGCAGTTCGAGCTCACGAAGCCGTTCACCAGGTGCAGGTAGGTCTTGAGGTCGTGACACGTGGCGACGTTGATCCCGCTGAGGTAGGGGGAGTCCCTGCTGCTGAGCCTGAGCTCCCTCCCCACCTCGGCGTACACCCACTGTGTGTCCGCCACGCGCCTCTGGAGCCAGCTCGGCGAGCCCGCCACGCGGACGTCCCGGTCGCTCGCAACGCCGTCGCCGTCGCCGTCCGGCCGGTCGATGACGAATCCGGGTACTTTGGTTATCAGGTCGTCCGAGTTGACGATGCGCAGGACCTTGGTCCCTTGCTCCTCGAGGCGGCACCGGAAGCTCCGGTTGCCCACCCGTGGGCCGCCGAAGGAGATGACGGTGACGAGTGGGGCCGCCCTCCCGAAGACCGTCTTCAAGTCGGAGGCGGTGAGCGTGGCCAGGGCCGCGCCCAGGCTGTGGCCGGTGATGGTCAGGCTGAGCGGCTCGTCGCCATAGGACCGCAGGAGCCGCGAGATCTCCTCGCGCACCATCTCCTGCAGGCTCGGGCAAGACGCGACGCGCGACGTGTACAAGCTTAGGAACCCACTCTCTACCATGGGTGCGTCCGCCGACGGGCACGCACCCGCGTCGGAGGGGCCCAAGTCGGGGAAGTGAGAGAGCGTGGCGCGCAGGTTCTCGAGCCACTCGAGGCAAGTGGCCGTCCCTCGGTAGGCGATCACAATGTCCCTCCGCCCCAGCCGGGCGATCTCGTCCTTGTCCTGGCAGACCGCGACGTACCCAATCCAGCTCGACCGAGTAGACATCCAGCCGGGAGCCCTCTCGGCCCAGCGCGGCAACTGAATCCCCGAGCTCGCCGTCAGGTTCCTCGTTATACGGTACCCGGTGCTCGGCAATCCGCACCGCTCGAACAGCGAGCTCTTAGAGAACCGGCGTGTGGCGTAGGTTGGCGAGGAAGGGTCGAAGTCGAAGGCCTTGTACGCGGCGTCCACGAAGCCGCCGTACCGGAGGATCTCGCGACGCAGGTTGTCGTCGAGCGGGTCGAGGAGGCCATCCCAGTTCCGGACGCCCTGGTACTCCATCCACCTGTTCCCCAGCCTCGCGGGCCTGGTCACGTGAGCGGCCCGGTCCGGCACGGGGTCGAGGAAGTGCGAGGAGATCTTGGGGGTCTGGTAATGGCAATGATCCAATTTCAGGTTCTTCTTGACAGGCAAATCCGTGGCGGGATGAGCGAGGGTGCAGCACCGGGAGGGTCGGTGCTTCGGAGGGTTCCTCGTCGTGCATGGCCGCACCGGTCGCATAGAGAGCTTCATCGTGGCGGCGATGGGCTAAACGCGCCTATCGACGCCTCGACGGAAGAAACGAAGGATCAAGGATCGAGCTGTCCGGCAGCTTTCCCTCCTGCTTTAGTGGAGGGCAAGTGGTGGAGACTGAGAAGAGCAGACTTTAGAGGTAGTTTTGTTGTTCAAAGTCGACGTTGCAGAGCGGACTTATATAGGCGAGAAAAAGACAGGGTTCGAGGGAGAGAGAGACAGAGCGTCGGGTGCAAAAAAAAGTAGAGATCTTTTCCTTCCGTCTCGAACTAAACAGACCGTGAAAATCAAGTCAATAAGCAATCCGAACATCATACCAAAAGTACCATCGACATGACGGGCAAAACCAATTACCGCCCAACACGGGAGACTCTTCCCGCATTCCTCCGGGGCGGGACCCGACCCGGGTTTCCCGTATTTCCCGAAATGCGATCGGCTCGATGCAGTAAATCATACATACACACACATACATATAATAACATTAATTCGGTCGATATTTTTGCCCCTCTTCTTGAGTGTGTACGGCGCTCGGTGTAATGAGGTTATGGGGCACTGCAATACCGCATCCGTCCGTGACTTCGTGGGCGACTTTTGATGGCGAAAAGAGACCGAGGCTGACGGGCCGTGGAGACGCGTACGAAAAGTAACGGTAACGTCTCTCGGTATTGTTATACGGTTCGACGAGGACGTCGTCGTCGCAACGAGAAAAACCGCTCTTGGGTCCACGCGGGAAAAAGAGACGCAGCGATTCATCGCGACGGGAGCTCGATTCATGGGGAGATGCGAATGCTTTTACCACATTCAAATCATCAGCGGAAATGCGCACGATTAATGTGGTTTCTTGTGCGTTCCGATGACGTCCGTGGCCTAGTGCATTTCAATAGATTATTGTCTTTTGATCGACGCGAAGTCCCGGATAAAGAAAAACATATGGTTTCGCACTTGCCCGAGCCGGACTGGACCGGACCCTTTTAGCCGAAAGTTCTAGTCGAGATCCCTCTGTATCGATATGCTTTTTGAGCCCGTGCGACGGCCCTAACCGCCTACGAGTCGCCAAGCTCACGATCGTGTCTGCACGTTGCGCTTTCTCGGCATAACGATATGGATACGAAGTAACTAGCAATCTTTTTTGCTACCGAATGGATGACCTGTTTGTGATCTGATCGACCGAGCGAATTTAGGGCGAGACGAGGAATAACAGAGTACTCGAGAGTATATTTCTCTCTCTTCTGGATTCTTCTTTACGTCACGTTATTGTATGAACCATGAAGCATTGTTTTTAGGAGGAAAGGGCGCAACGGAGATGGAAAGGTGGCAAGAGGGGAGGGAAACGAGAGATACAAAAGGAGATTTTCTTTGCTTAGTTTAAAGTTCAAAGTGAATATAGGAAATCAGAAGGCACTGGAACCTTAGGTAGCGAATGATAATCATTCTGTTCCGGAATGAGTTTCAGAAATAGATTTTTCTATTTCTGGTTCCAGGATGAGTTTCTGAGAAAAGAAACCCGTTTGATAACAACAAAAAATTTCTATTTCTGGAACAGAAACCCGTTTGATAACAGCGCAAAATTTCTATTTCCTGAAACAAAAACTCGTTTGATAAACAACACAAAATTCTATTTCCAGGAAAAAAATCCATTTTTTTTAAAAATGGAATAAAAATAATTAGAAAATCCAAAAAAATTGAAAAATTCTAGAAAAATTCATCACAATTTCCAAAAAATAAAAAAAATTCAGATTTTTCTAGAAAATAGGAAATTTGTTGAATTTTTTCAAAAAAAAAAAAAATCAAAAATTTCAAAACTTCATAGAATGACTTAAAATACCTGTGGCCACCCACTTTTAGTGAAACTTAAATTTTTTTAAGTGCCCAAAAAAAATCAAAAAATAAAAAATTCCAAAATTTTTAAAAATTCAAAGAATAGTTTAGAATACATGTGGCTACCCACTTTGAGTGAAATTTAAATTTTTTAAAGTGCCTAAAAAAATTCAAAAACTCAAAAATTTCAAAACTTCACAGAATAGCTTAAAATACCTGTGGCCACCCACTTTGAGTGAAATTTTAATTTTTTGAAGTGAAAAAAAGCAAAAAATCAAAAATTTCAAAACTTCATAGAATGACTTAGAATATCTGTGGCCACCCACTTTCAGTGAAATTAAAATTTTTTTAGATGCCAAAAAAAAATAAAAACATAAAAAAATAAAAAATTTTAAAACTTCACATAATGACTTAGAATGCCTCTAGCCACCCACTTTGAGTGCAATTTAATTTTTTTAGGTGCCCAAATGGTATTTTTTATTTTAAAATTTTTTTCGGCACCTAAAAAAAATTAAATTTCACTCAAAGTGGATGGCCACATGTATTCAAAGCCATTCTGTGAAGTTTTGAAATTTTTGATTTTTTTTCTTTTTTTCGGCACCTAAAAAAAATAAAATTTCATTCAAAGTTGGTGGCCACAGGTATTCTAAGCCATTCTGTGAAGTTTTGAAATTTTTGCTTTTTTGCTTATTTTTATTTTTTTCGGCACCTAAAAAAATTAAATTTCGCTCAAAGTGGGTGGCCATAGGTATTCTAAGCAATTCTGTGAATTTTTGAAATTTTTTAATTTTTTATTTTTTTCGGCACCTAAAAAAATTTAAATTTTGCTCAAAGTGGATGGCCACAGGTATTCTAAGCCATTATGTGAAGTTTTAAAATTTTTAATTTTTTGATTTTTTTATTTTTTTAGGCACCTAAAAAAATAAAATTTCGCTCAAAGTGGGTGGCCACAGGTATTTTAAGCCATTCTGTGAAGTTTTGAAATTTTTTCTTTTTTGCTTATTTTTATTTTTTTGGCATCTAAAAAAAATTAAATTTCGCTCAAAGTGGGTGGCCACAGGTATTCTAAGCCATTCTGTAAAGTTTTGAAATTTTTGATTTTTTTATTTTTTTCGACACATAAAAAAATTTAAATTTCTCTCAAAGTGGATGGCCACAGGTATTCTAAGCCATTATGTGAAATTTTTTATTTTTTATTTTTTGCTTTTTAAAATTTTTTTCAGTATCTAAAAAAAAATAAATTCGCTCAAATTGGGTGGCCACATGTATTCTAAGACATTCTGTGAAGTTTTTAAATTTTAGATTTTTTGATTATTTTTTATTTTTTTGGCATCTAAAAAAAATTAAATTTCGCTCAAAGTAGGTGGCCATAGGTATTCTAAGCCATTTTGTGAAATTTTGAAATTTTTGATTTTTTGACTTTTTTTTTATTTTTTTCGGCACTTAAAAAAATTTAAATTTCGCTCAAAGTGGGTAGCCACAGATTTTAAACCATTATGTGAAGTTTTGAAATTTTTGATTTTTTGATTTTTTTTCCCACTTCAAAAATCGTGACTTCCAGATGAACATGTGTTTTAAAGAAAGAGTTCTCTCAGAAATGATTCTCATTTTTGGTCTAGAAATAGAAAACCAACTTTTTTTTTGTTCTGATTTCTGGTTCAGAATCGGTTCTGGAACAAAAACTTGTCCCAGAAATAGAAAAATGAAATTGCGTTAACAAACGGGTTTCTGGTCCAAAACTGATTCTGGGAACAAAAAACCAGTTCTGGACAGAACCAGAATGGTTATCATGCGGTACCTTAGTCCTTTTGGGCAAAAAGAGATGCTGAGAAGTGGGAACGTTACGTTATAATAGAGTATTTGTGTTCACTTATGAAAAGTCAAAAAAAGTGTTTCTTGGCTTTTCCCAAAATAATTTTTTTTAACCTTAAAGAATCATGAAAAAACTCTCCACGATTTAAGGTGCTAACAAGCATTATCTTTATTATATCCATAAAGAATTTTGTGATAGTAAGGGCCCGTTTAACAACTTGCTAAACAGTGAAAATTTCTGTTCTTTTGTTTCCAGAATAAGTTTTGGAACAGAAATTCATTTGGTAAACTTTTTGTTCTCGGGCACAAATTTGTAAAAAATTATTCCCATAATCAGTTTTGGAACAGAATCAAGAAGAAAAAGAAAATAACTCCTTGATTATGGGAACAAGAATTAGAATTGGAAAAAAAATTATTATTTTTTCTTCTTCTGCTTTCCCGTTCTTTCTGTTCTTCTTCATTCTTTTTGCCTGGCCGGCCACCGGCGACACAGGCGACGAAAATCTAGCCCTTGCCAAATCTGGCGAGGGCGGCACTCGCCCAGGTCGTGAGCCTCGAGGGCGACCCTCGCCGGCTCGAGTGAGGGCTGGAAAAGGCCGGCGAGGGAAGCCTTCGCCAGATCCGGCGAGGGCGACCCTCGCCTAGGTCGCGAGGGTCTAGCCCTTGCCGGATTCGGCGAGGGTAGCCCTCGCCCAGGCCACGAGGGTGCAGCCCTCGCCCTCGCCGGCCCTGGCCTGTGGTCAGTCGCCGACCATGGCCAAGAAAGAGGAGAAGGAAAAAAAAAAGAAAAGAAAGAAATATGAAAATATTTAAAAATATTATTAATAAAAAGAAATTTTGTGCCATTACCAAACGCATTTCTATACTTTTTCTATTCCAGTAATGAAAATTTTGGGCCTTTTAAACGCTTTCAAATGCTCAGAATCAGTTCCCAGGTACAGAATAAAAAAGAATAATTTCTGAGCAAAATCAGTTCCCGAGCACAAAATTGTTGCTATACGCACCCTAAACATTATGTGCCATTTAGTGTCTTGATCCGGTACGATTGATTTGGGTGTCATGAGATTTTGGCCAGCTGCACGATTCACAAACCGAAGGCCATCCGTTCAAATTCGTCAATTTTGTGCAAACTGTTCTAGATTGAGGCCACATGCACGGGCTAAAAGGCACAGACTTGACCGAATAATGATAATGCGGGATATTTAATTTGCCTCCAAATAGCCGGTTTTTGCACTCGTGCTCCTTGATTGTTAAGAAAAACAGTTATTTATTTGCCATATACTCGGGTCCAAGTTGATTTCGGCCATACTACTCGAGTGTCCCATCTAAGATCATAGATTATTTTCGAAACAATTGCCTTCAAATCGGTTAAAAGGAAATTGCGGGTAAAAAAGAAGAAGAAACAAACGTATTTTCAAAAAATAATACGAGACGAATGAGATTAACTGCATCGAGGTCATATACTTATTTAAATTTGTAGACTGACCCGATAATTATATATGTTCATTTGCACTTGAATTTGTCAATCAAATGC